GGGGGGGAGGAGCAGGAGTTAAGCTCGTGGTGAGGCGCTGGCAGAGGGTGACAGAAGGCAAAACCTGGCACAGGCAGGGCACAGGGGATAACAGTTACGCCAGTGGGACTGAGACACCCGTGTTTGCAAAAATGGTTGGGGGCAAAGGGGCTTTTTTTATTTCCCCTCTCACAGACAGACAGCACCTCTCAGCATCGGCTTCCCAGGGCTGGGTTGTTAAAGGCACAGGCACAGGGCCGGGTTCTTAAAGGCACAGGCATCCCAATGCCTAGTCAATGCAGCTCCTCTTTGTCTGATCTAACCTACTGAGGCTATGTCTACACTACAAAGTTCAAAGCGCTGCCATGGGTGCCAGTGCTCCTGGTAATTCACCTCGACGAAGGGATTAGCTCTGAGCACTGGGAGCCGAGCCTGTCCACACTAGCACTTTAAAGCGCTCAAACTTGCTGCACTCGGTGGGGAGGGGTATTTTTCACATCCCTGAGCCAGCAAGTTAGAGCGCTTTAACTTGCCAGTATAGATAATCCCTGAGACTTAATTCAGTGAAACATTTTACACATATCCCCTCAGAAACAAAGAATCCCTTATCACTGTATCTGAATGCATAGAGTCTCCTAGCAGTTTCCCAAGTTGTCTTATCTGCTGCTGGGATTCCCTGAATTCCCTGAATTTTTAAATTTAATTTTTTCTTCTCATTTTAGAGCTGACTGATTTTCTGGCCTAGTGTCAAAACTTTGTTTTGAGTTAATCCACCAATGGGGATTGCATTTTTGCAACTGTTATTTTGCCTCTCAGTCTAGCCCTTAGTGTTTTTCCGCATGCCATTGTGTACAACTTGATTCTGAAATATTCAATAAAGGCAGTATACTATCTCCTATAATGTCTTTCTCCCTGGAAAAAATCTATTGTCATTTTTGCAGAAAATTAGAACTGCCATCATGGGTCAGACCAGTAGTCCGCCTAATCTAGTATCCTGTCTTGTGACAGTGGCCAGTGCCAGGTGCTTCTAAGGGAATGATCAGACCAGGCAATGACTCAGTGAACCATCCCATTGTCCACTCCCAGCATCTGGCAGTCAAAGGACAGTTTAGGGACAAGCAGAGCATGGGCCTGCATCCCTGATTATTTTGGCTAATAGCCAATGTACTTATCCTGATGGACTGATTTAATTCTTTGTTCAACCCATTCATAGTTTTGCCTTTCAAAATATAATGAACACACATCTACAACCACAAGATACCTTTACAACCACAAGAATTCTAAAATCATGAGTTATACACCCTCGAGTCAAGAAATTTTAATAAATAAATTATCTCTTTTTTTTATGTGCCTCTTTGTTCCTGAGCCTGCAGGGTGCAGTAAGGCCAGTTCCAATACCTTGAGCCTAAACACCTGAATGAATCTTAGTCTACCCTCATACTGTTCCTGTTACCTCTCCCAAATATTTCATAGACCTAAGGCCATATCTACACTTTAAGTGTGGATTAACTCAAGTTATGTCACCATAGAGTCACCATGGTTACTATGTCACTTGTGTGCATGCCTCCTGGACTCCTTGTCTCAGCAGTCAGGGTACTCACCAAAAGCACTTGTCTAGATTCAGAGTGAGGTGCACATTGAATAGATATCCCACTGTATTTTGGGAAGCTTTGGTTTGGCAGTGTATGCTGGGTACCAAACAGGTCAGACAGGGGTGATTGTGGTCATGGGATCCAACTTCTTATAATGCATTGTTAACCATCCACTAATTTTATATGTATCCCATACATAAACATATACATAAAGTTTACACCTTTTTTCTAAACCCACAAACCTGCCTGGCCCTCCTCACTGTCTGCCATCTCACACAGAATCATGGAGCTTGCATGGCTCTGCACTATTGTTATGAGCGTTTGCACCCAAAGGTGCAGGCTCCTTTACTATTTGCAGATCAGCAAACATATATGTGGGGTGTGACATTATCCTCTACATTCTTTATGAAAATATGCTTATGATATGGATATGACATAGCTAATATATTCTTTATGCAAGATGGCTGATGTGGGGTATCACTGCAAAACTTAAGACCTATTGACTGTGTTTATCCAACCTGTATGCATGTAACATTTGTATCTGAGGCTAGAAATATTGACCATGTTTTATCTGAATTACTGATAACACAGCGATCCCTGGAGATCAGGAATAGCAACTTGGGGGGGGTGGGCATTGACACCCCTACACTGGCACACCCGGCAAACTGTGGGTGGGGCTGTTTCTTTAAGAGGAATTTGCTCTGCCCCAAACAGCCAGGGACACAGACCGTTACCTTAACTTCCTGCTACTTTTGCACTTTCAGTTTTGAAGTGAGTGGAAGGCCCAGGCCGGGAGGGAGCTCGGCCCAGTCAATTCAGCTACAAATGTAACAAAAATAACAATGAAGAGTCGGGTCTCAAACCCTCCCGCTTCATGACCCTGTGTGTGGAACTGGTGCTGCAGCCTCAGTAAGTGACATGGGGACCAGAGACGGATTTAGGGGCACGTAACCTGGGCGACTGCCTGGGGTGCCGGGCTTGGGGGGCTGTGTTTGTTGTTAGCGATAAAAGGAAACAGAATGTTTGAAGTAAAATGTTTCAGGTTTTCCTTATGTGCGCTAATTCTTCACTAACCTTCTAGACTTTCTGATTCAAAGCTTCTTTCTGGGATTCAGTAGGGAGAGGAGCTCCGGGCTCTGGATCCCCAGCTGCACAGCTCTGGCTGAGATTTCCGGACACACAGTGCTGAGGTCCCTTCAGATGGGCTGTTATCACCAATGGGCCTCACTGAAGGGATCCTCAGGGAGAAACCGGCACCTCCTGACTCTGAAAGTAAACCTGGCTGTGGGAAAGTCCCTGCAAATTCAGAGATTTCTCTGCATCTGAACACAGACTGGGATGCTGGCTGGCACAGAGCTGGGCTCCCTTTGTGACAGGTGTGTGTGTGTGTGTTTGTGTATTTGTGTTTCTCTTCCCCCTCCTCCCCTTTGTTATTGTCACTAAACTGATGTTCCAGAGTGCGCTGTTGAAAGACAAGAAGAGAAAAACCTTGGTCCAGATTCAGTGAATCCCTCCCATCCCCACCCAAGTCTGCAGGGCCATTGCCCCGAGGGAGGGCAGGTGCTGTTACCACTGCCACCCATCCTACAGGTTTCTGCCAGGGCAGGGGGTGCATCACCTCCTCCCAGATCTCTGTCAGTGGGAATCACATGGGGAGGCCGTGACTCTGTGCCCTGGAGCCCTGGTCAGGCTCCCTTCCTGACCAATACTGGCCTCTCTGTGGGTAACATGGTGACCGTCCCAGTCTAGGGGAAGTTACAGGTACAGCCTGGTTCCTGGGAGGACTTGACACCACTGCACAGCCTGGCAGGGGCTGCACGGCTAGGGTGGAGCATGAGCCATGAGTGACTCTAACATTTATCTAAAGCTCTTTGTCTCTAAGGGTACGTCTACACTGCAGCTGGGACTGAGCTTCCCAGTGTGGGTATATAGACACATCCTTGCTGTGCTCAAGTTAGTTTGCTAAATCTAGCAGTGTAGCAGGGGGAAGCACAGGTGGCGGCTCAAGCTAGCCACCCGGGTACATATCCCAGGAGTCCAGACAGGTTTGATCTCAGGCAGGAATCCTGATCTGCCACCTAGGCTACCCCATTACTCTGCTATTTTTAGTATCCTAGCTCAAGGAGAGCTAGCACGACTGTCTACCAGCGCTGGGAAGCTCACTCCCAGTGGCGGTGTAGACATACCCTGAGAGTGGTTTAAATGGTGCAGATCCCAGGGGGCACAGAGATGTGGTGACCCCATTCAGAATTTCTTTGACATTTACACCAGTGCTGGAGGCAGTGAGGGTGGGTCACTGACACAAAAAATCACTCAGGTCAGGGACTGATCTGCTCATAGGGAGATCCCCAGAGACCCCTCCCCTAGGACAAGTGTGGCTGGGAGATGGGGCCACTTTCCCCCACAGTGATCAGTGGCCATTCATACCCCATTCAAAGGCTTTGCCTGCACTGGCTTGTTTTCCCTAATATGTCCCATGGTAGCATCTAAATGCCCCAGCCAAGATGGGGCCCCACTGTGCTGGGAGCTGGACACCCCAATAGTGAGAGATCCCCTCTGCCCAGGTTTAAAGGACCAGGGCACAGGCAGTCTTGCCTAGTGGTCACAGCTGGGCTGAGGTCTGCCCACCTGGGATGGGAGTCATTGGGCCAGAGTTAGAGGAATCACAAGGCCAGGGTCCGTAAACAAGAATCAGGGTCAGAGTCAGATACCAGAGGTAGTACCAGATTAGAATCAAGAGGCTGGATTCAGGGTCAGAGATCAGGAGACAAGGCAAAGTCCAGCATCATAGTAGGCAAAGGTCTGGGTGGTTGCCCAGACATCTTCCTGGGGCAAGCCCTGCGGTTAAGTAGGGACACTTGGCCAATCAGAGGCCCACAGGGTACTGTCACTCTGGGTCTCGTGGGCAGTACTTCCTGTAGTGCCTATTTTCCACACTGCTCCCCAGGTCCTTACACAATCTAAATAGAGCAGAGAGCTCCATAGGTCTCAGCCGTGGCATGGACTGGCTTCTGGCAGTTCTGGGTTTTAATCACAGCAACATCTAACCCTGCTCAGAGCCACGGCAGACGAGGACTGTGGGGGAAATCCCTTCCATTCTGGTGTATGGCAGGCAACAGTGAGGCTTGTTACCGCCTCCCCACTGCCCTGTGTCACTTTCAATGCATCACAATCACTCACCGTCTGGTTTGTTATTTCTCCTGTTCCCCAGATCAAGCTATGATGATGGGGAAGATTCCCTCATTCTCCCGCGGCTCCACAGTGAGCTCCGCTCTGCCCGGCTATGTCGCTCTCTGCCTCACTCTACAGGTTCACAGGCTGGTGTCAGGTAGGAGCTCCGGCCTCCTCGCTGGGTTTGCTGCTGTTGCTATTGCTGGTGTCGGAGAATAACAGAGTTCTCACTCCTTGTTTGGGTACAGCAAGTCAGATACTTTATTTTCTCTAACAATTGCGTAGAGGGAGAGAGCTAAACAGGTCTCTCTACAGGTAAACAATTACAGCAAACCTTTATACCTTTCATTACAGACAATAATAAGCAACAGCTGCATTTTGTTTATACATAGGCCATCTTGATATCTTATTTTTCTCACTTGTTTTGACTCTAGTCTACATACAATATTTTCTACACATTATCTACATAAGGTCGCAACAACTTCTCACACAGTTCTTTCCCACTCGCCTCACACAATCCTCGCTTCTACAAATCTCGCGTTATTAGGGTTACAGTTAGCCTGACTCTTGCTAACGAACTGTCATGCATTGCATCCCCTTCCTGTCAGTTCTTTCTCTGCTTCCACAACCCCCCCCCTTTTGTACTACTAGTACAACAAAACCTTCTCAAATCTCTATATGCATTAAGTCTTGGAATTCAGATTCTACATCAGATGCTTCAACCTTAGGGGTTTTGATTGGATGTAATGACAATGCATGATGAGCATGGACATGAACGGTATTACTATTATTAAATCCTTTACAACAACAATAACATACTCCTACACTAGCTGATGTAAGCAGAGTCAGGATGAGCTCTACCCTGACATCTGGTGGTGAATTATGGCGAGTGTGGAAAAGAACTCCAGGGGTTAATCTTGTTTGCATAGGCACACCCACTTGCCTGGCATGAAACAACAGCAACTGAAAGTGGTTACTTTGGCTGGTGTGGGATCCCCCGTTTCTCTGTTATTGGGGCAGGAAGAATAAAGTTTTGTTACCCTGATTCTGTGAATCAAGGCCAGTGGAACTGTTGTATGACAGAAGGACTGAGTGAGTCCTTCACCATTACCTAAGTAGCACTTGCTTGACAAGGGGCATGGGTTACAAAACCCAGGGAATTGAGAGAGGATGGGGACAGGTATTTGTATCTGATGGCATGGGCCCCCTCTGAGGGTTTGAAACACCCATTGTACCACCTCCTCTCTCCACTGTTGAATGTCAGAGCTAACTTTGATTCCCTTAGGAGTCTAGTTACAGGCTGCTGAGCTGAATTCACTTTGGGCCAATGGTGCACCAGCACTGGGGCTCCCCTACTATACTATGAGCTGAAATTGCTAAGAGCTGAAATCACAAAAGAGCTGATGTTATTAAGAGCTGAGATCACTGAGTGCTGTGTTAACTAGTGGGGGAGCCTGAAGCTATATTGCTCAGCAGCTGGCGGAGCAATTTGTGGGGTCGACTGGAGGAGCGGCGTGGAGCCTTGCGGGGCCGGTTGGAGTGGCCCAAGGAACGGCGAGTGGAGCTGTTTGCGGGGACGGCTGGAATGGCTCACAGGTTGGGGAGCGGAGTGGAGCAGCTTGTAGAGCGGAGCAGTTCATGGGATGGCAGGAAAGTGGACTGGCTCGTGGTAAAGGCTGCGGTGGAACCCCCACGGAGAAACAGACGGCTGGCCAGCCTTGGATCACGTAAGGTGCCCCTTAACACCCTGCGTGCCCCCCCTTTTTACTCTGGGGCTGCACTGACCAGGGACAGAGACTTTGGGGGTTGTTGGACTTTTGGGACTTTGGGTGGTTGCTGGACCCAAGAGACTTTGGGGGTGTTGGACTTTGGGGACTCTGGGTGATTTTTGGGTTGCTGGATTCAAGAACCAAAGGGAAAGGACACAGCCCAATTTGCTGGGGGTGGGTTTTGCTCATGGTTTGTGTTATGAATCCTGTTTGTGGTGTTTTTCCAATTTTATGCTGATGTCGTTTACCTCATGTTATTAAACATTTTCCGCTACACTCAGACTCCGTGCTTGCGAGAGGGGAAGTATTGCCTCTTAGAGGTACCCAGGGGGGTGGTATGTAATTGTCCCAAGTCACTGGGTGGAGGCTCGAGCTGGTTTTGCATTGTGTTATTGAAACGGAACCCCTAGATACAGAACCCGGCCCTTGTTGCTGCCAATTTAGATGGGCAGAAGGGTTACACTTGTGCTAGCCTCATGCTCCTCCTTCTGACTCCACTGACCACTCCTGTCACCATTAAATCATTGGTTTTCACAGCTCCCTCCTCTCCCAGTTCTCCTCCTGCCTTTCTAATCACTTCTTCGATGTCTGTTTTCTTGGGTTGGTCTCTTCCTGTCTCCCTCTTTCAGAGAATGTCCCCCAAAGCTCAGTGTTTGGCCCCCAGCTCTCCTCTCTCCACACGCTGCCTCTAGTAGCTCCTATCTACACACATGGCTTCAGATACCACCTCTATGCCAATGTCTCTCAAACTCCTTCTCCGCTAAAGACTGTTCCCCCTCCATCCCATCCCACATCTCGGCCTGTCTGACGTCTCCTCCTTGTTGATGTCCAGAGGGCAATTTAAGCTCAACAGCTGAGTGTTTAATCTCTTCCGCACCTCTCACAGCCCACCCCACTTCCTAGTTTCTTCAGCGCTTTGGATAACACCACGAGCCCTCCCAGAGGCAGGGGGCTGTGGCTGCTCTCCCTCCTCCCTGCCTCCCATCCCGCACGCTGGACCCCACCAGAGCAAGATACCAGGATCTCTGCCCCTCCTGTGGGCCAGGGATTGTGGCCCTGTGGTGGGGTATGAGGCCTGGGCTGGCTGGAGGGAGCTCAGAGCGGAGTGGAAGGCCTGGGGTCTGGGCCCTGCTCGAGGTGGCTTCTTTCAGGAGGAGTCCAGGGGGTATTTCCTCTGCTCTGGCTGGGAGAACCACTCCATGATGTAGGCCCAGGTCGGGGGTTGGGGAGAGCAGAAAAAACTATCCTGTAATTTTGAAATACAGTGCTGGCCACCCTTACAACACGTCCATTCGCCCAATCACTCAGGCCAGAAATCTGGGCATTGACTCTGACTCAGCCTCTCTCTAAGCCCCCATGTCCTGACCTCACCCCAGTCTCCCTGCTTCTGTGTACATAACACGTCACAGATTCAGCATCTCCTGTCTGTCCTGACAGCCCAGGCTCTCGTTCACCCCATCATCTCACACCTCCACTACTGTGATCTCCTCCTGCCCAGCCTTGACACCAGCCGCTTTGTTCCGCTTTGTCCCCTCACCTCCATCCAAAACACTGCTGCTAGGATCAGCTTTCAGGGGCTTGTCTCTGCTACCACATCCACCACTTAGTGTCCCTCCACTGAGACCCCCTTCAGCTCCACTCCCTCACAAGCTTCTTGTCCCTCACCAGTTAGTACCCAGTTGGCCATGCAGAGGTTGAGCTCCCTGGGGCAGGGACTGTCTTTTTGTTAGATGCAGTTTGTGTGGACAGAATGGGGAACAGTGGGTGTGTCTGGGAGCCATAGAAGAGGATGTTAATAGTGGCGGGATATAGTGAGGGCCTTTGAGTGAGGGCCTGTGCTGCAGGGATGGTGAGAAAAGGACGATTCTGGAGATAACAGTCAGGAAGGAGCAGTGGTGTTTGGAAATGGCCTGGGTGTGCAGAGGGAGGAATAAAAAAAAATCTTGTGATTGTGGGCATTGAGATTTGGCAAGGAAGATCATTAGGGACCCCAGTGAGAGCCATCTGACTAGAGTGGGAAGGAGGGACGTCAGACTGGAAGGGTTCTAAGACAGCTGGAGACACAAGCATTGTTTGCAGACTGGGTTCACTGAGTTCAGAGATAAAGGGGAGGAGGGAGATGGGGCAGTACCTGGAGGGGTGAGTGGGGAAGAGGGGCAGGTTTCTGAGTAAAGTTATACCTGGCTATAAATATTTTCAGGGTCAGGACCCTAGATTGTGAACTCTTTGGAGTAGGACCTGTGTCATCTTACAGTCTGGAGTGTGTGTGTGTGTACAGGACCTAGCGCAGTGGGGCCCAGCCCTGAGTGTATGTGTACAGGACCTAGCTCAGTGGGGCCCAGCCCTGAGTGTATGTGTACAGGACCTAGCACTGTGGGGCCCAGCCCTGAGTGTGTGTGTACAGGACCTAGTGCTGTGGGGCCTGGCCCTGAGAGTGTGCATACAGGACCTAGCGCCATGGGGCCCAGCTCAGAGTGTGTGTGTACAGTAATTAGCACTGTGGAGCCCAGCTCAGAGTGTGTGCGTACAGGAGCTAGCATAGTGGAGCCTGGCCCTGAGTGTGTGTGTACAGGACCTAGTGCCGTGGGGCCCAGCTCTGAGTGCGACCTCTAGGTGCTACTGGAATGCAAATAACAATGTGCAGTGGGGCAGGAGACTGGCCCTGGGATATGGATTTATGGCAGGGGATGGGGCTTAAAGGTGTGTGTCTGTGCAGAGGACGGGGGATGAAGAGGTATAGGTGGGTGGGGGGTTGCAGGGATCAGTGTGGGAGGGACAGAGAGTCATGATGTGGAGCCAGGAAGCCCTGCTCTCTGGGCCATGTTGATCTGTGCAGTATCTGAGGTGTATAACAAGTAAATGTAACAGCTGGGGCAGGACAGGTTTAGGGTTGCCAGGCATCTGGTTTTCGACCAGAACACCCAGTCAAAAAGGGACCCTGGCAGCTCTGGTCAGCACTGCCGACTGGGCCGTTAAAAGTCTGGTCAGCGGCGCAGTGGGGAACCGGAGCTAAGGCAGGCTGCCGGAAGCAGCCGCCAGGTCCCTGCGGCCCATAGGCACATAGACAGCCAGGGAAGCTCCGTGCGCTGCCCACACCCTGAGTGCCGGCTCCGCAGCTCCCATTGGCTGGGAATCGTGACTATAGGGAGCTGCAGGGGCAGCGCCTGCAGCCGCGAGGGCAACACACAAAGCCTCCCTGGCCACCCATGCACCTAGGTGCCTCAGGGACCTGGCGGCCGCTTCCAAGAGCCGTGGTAAGCACTGCCAGGACCTCACACCTTGTCCTGCACCCCAACCCTCTGTCCCAGCCCTGAGCCACCTCCTGCACCCCAAACCCCTCATCTCCAGCCCCGCCCCCCCCATAGCGCCTGACCGAGCCTGTTGTCCC